CATTTCTTTGAGATCTGAGCTCTGGTGTTTGACTTAGTTGATATTCTAACGTCGGGTGTTTCCTGTTGAGTTGATGTGCTGACTAAGGAGTACTGTTCTTTGGGTCGTACTTCTTTCATGACTTGAGATACCCCTTTTATAGCCAGTACTGGAGAACACTCCGAAAAATCTGCAATGATATGGCTCTGGTTGCTTCCTGTCTTCTATACGATGTTGGTGCTCGGTGAGCCAGTCCATGACACGTTCATTCATATTGCATTTGCACGAGTGATTCTTAATCGGAAGGTTAAAGCTCAATGTGATCATGCATGCACTCGAAGGAACAACGATGTCTGGATCTATCTTTATGCGAAAGTGACATAACCGGTGGAATCTCTTGACTATGGCTTCACGAGTCGACATGCCATAAACATCTGGTTGATTCCAAAAAGCACCGAAGGCTCCATACAGAACACATGGCGTGGATGATTCTTCTGCGGCGTACATCATAGCCGCGATCTCTGAGCAACCGGCGCCATACTTATCTGGGTGAATGCGCCGTCCACGTATTGGCTCGGTGATCCATCCGAAAGAAAATTGGCCTTGTCTTAAACACTTTACTTCACTGCGATTCTTAAGCAGTGCACGTGGATCAATGACAACAACGTGATAACCCAAATCCTGCAAAGCATCTGAGATGTCTGATGCGTCATCTATGACCGATGCTTGGGGTTGCGGATGGATCACTCTTTATTTGCTAGTTAGATTCTGACAGTGATTCTAGTGTTGGAGACTCTGCCTTGGCTTGCGGTGAGCCACGAACTGAGTAGGTTTGAGTCGCGCGCGATTCGCTCTTTGGTGCTGCGATGGGTGGCTCTGACGTCAGTTCCACGGCTTGGTGGAGGATGTGCTGGCTCCTCCGAACGAGCTGGTCTATTTCCGGACGATGCACTGGTATCTCCCTGCGCTGCTCCCCTACTGGATGACGCTGGTGCGCTCTTATGAGACAGTGGATACACCTCCACTAAAGGAGGGCTGACATTTCCCACTGTTTTGGTCCCAGTTTCTGGGAGTCTTCTTGTTGATGCATCTGTTGAGGTTGATGGTTCTAGAGTTCGCCGCGCTGGTGAATGTGATGATGGGATGCCTGTTGCAAGCACTGGCCTGTCTCGTGCATAAACCTGTGCACGCGGTGAAGTCTCCGGGAGAGGCACATCAGGATAAGCTCGTTGGGGCTCCTCAAAACTGAGTGCGGGTCTTGCGACTCTCTCACCAGACAACTCTGGTGGTGTTGATGGAGTATTGATATTTGCTGCTGCTCTTGTCGGATGAGCATTAATTCAACTGCGGCCGATGCGTATGCAGGGGGCGCTGACAAACTCATTGAACCGGATGGTTGTGAACTTGGGTCAACTTTAGTGCTAGCTGCAGGACGCATGTCGGGTGAATTTCCATACTCCCAAGAAAGCCTCATGGCTGTAGTCCCTTGCATTCCTCCAGTTCGAACCCGATCCTCAACTCGTGAGTAGTCTCTTTGTGGCGACACTGAGCCGAGGCCCCTGCGTGACCGCACTTCCTTGTGAAATTCGTGATCGATCTCAGGGAAGGATTCTTTGTCGAAGCAGCCATGGTGAGCATGGATGGCAACGATGGAATCTGATCACCTGTGAAACCGGCAAACTTGCCATCTGTGAAGAAGTCGGCACGGTAGCACAGGTGGCCGGACGGGGCACGCTCCAAAGGGATGTGTACTGACCCGGGCTCCCAGGGCCTGGAAACGTCAATCGCTCTTCTCCTGGAGTCATTTCTAAAACAGCGTTCTTGGAGCTCATTGATTTAAGGCCTAGAAGTGCGGGGAGGTTACATCCCGAGCCTTCAACTGTTGGCGCTTGAAAGATGAAGCTGTGTGGTGTTGTCTCACTGGCACCATTGGAGGAACCCGTCTGGCGAGGAATCTAGATTGGCAGACACCAAAAATCAGTGCATTGCTGACTGCCATTGCCAACCCCTTTCACATTTAAAGGGCTGCCCACTCACTGCCAACTAAGTTCGTATATGCACCGGGATCAACTAGGATGGAACTGTAGCCTTCAAGTTGAGTAGAACTGTGATATATTTCTCCTTCATACTTAATCTCTGGCCACCAAGGGAAGGCGCTGGCTGATCTTTCTCTTGGTGGACTTTGTTGAGGATCTACAAAGGCGAAATTGCTGATGACCAGTTTGGACACTCTGGATAACTGTTTTCTGAGAACGATCCGACCCAAGAGTCCCAGCACTGCTGGTGGAAAGTGTGTCTACACACGAGACGAATGAGTTGCTCACCGCCCCTGTACACTTCCTGGCATACGCTGCGTTGGTCAGGGTTGCCATCGTACCGAATCGACGGAGCAGGACTGGCTGACCTGCCCGAGCGAACGGATGCTGCATTCGATCAAGGCACCGAAGCTGTTGATTGGTTCTCGGCGCGCTGCGACCGATGCGTTTGCTCTTCCAACTCCTGAGCTTCTTGAAACTCTGCTTCGGTTTCACGCATGGAATTCTGGACTTCCAGCGTTCGAGATGCTTGATGGAACAATTCGGTCAATGCCTGATCACCTTGTCGAGACGACACTGTGGTGGCTGCAGCACCTCTGCGATTGCGCCGTGGTAGCGCAGTCATCTGAGAAGCCTGGTGAAAAGCCTCAACCCTCTGCTGTGCGAATGGATCTAAGGTTGATACGGCTTCTGCTTGATGCGGTGAAATATACGCAGGTGGTTCGTACCTAAGTCCATGCAGGAAATGCAGCAAATTGGCCCACGCTGGCAATTCTGGTGGCGGCGTTGGCCAATATGTGTGTACCTATCAGTCATTGAGGGATCAACTGGCTGCTGCGTTGGCATCATTGGTGCCTGGTGCGACATGTTTGGCACATGACTCACCCCCATCGAACCTGCTGGCACTGACTGTTGAGCCTGTTCGTCCAACAGTGGTGAAGGATTTGGGCCGAACAACGGCCGGCTTGCACTTCCGGCAGCCTGCTGAGCCCGTGTCTTCCAACTGCCATGAACCTACCCAGCATTTCATGCAGAGCAGCGGTCCATAGCTGGTCGATAGTTCATCCAAGCATGGTCAGATGACACATGTGATGATGGTTGTTGTGGCAGCTGAGCTGATTGCCAGGGATCCACCTGGCTCCAGCTCGAGAGACTGGTCTGATCCGTCTGCTGCTCATCTCCAGGAGTCACCATCAAACTGAGGTGGAGTGAATCACACCTGCTTCTGGCTGATATCCTGGAGGATTGGTGGATAGCAGTTGCACTTGTGGATGAGCGGACAGTTCATTGGCATACACAAAGAGACTATTAGGACCTGACGATTGGCTCTGCTGGCGTCTAGGACACTTAGCTATCAAGCGCTCTGTCGAACCACAACCATGGCATTGCATCGGCTTGCCATCTCGTCCCCTTGGATTGGCCTTGCGACCCCTTCCCTGAGCTCTTACGCCAGTGCCTCCCCGTCGACGAGGAGGCTGGGAAGAGTGACTGGATCTCATGATCTGACAACTGCGACAAGTACGAAGTGCTAGAGACCTGGCCTGCTTTACCCTTAGCGCCTTTAAACTTGCCCTTACCTTTCCCTTACCCTTGAAGCTCTTACGAAGGAAGCGACGAACTTTGCGAGGCTTGCCCATGAATGATCTCCACTGTCGCTTGGCCTTAGAGTATGCCCAATACAGATCTTGAGCATATGCTTCAATCTCTTCGGGGTTAAGGGAATATTGCTCTGGCCCCCACTCACCTTCTTCATCAGAACTGGTGTCTGTGTCTGTTCCGCTTTCAAAGCCCTCGAACGATGGGAATGCTTCGGAAGGCTGGTCTGATGAAAATTGAGGGTTATTATTAATGTGTTGTCGCTGATTCATCCAACTGGTGGCTGCTGCTTGCTCACGCGAAGCCCACGACTGGTGGCCAACTGCATCCTGGGAATCATCCTGAGGGAGAGTCACATACTGATGAGACGTCGTATCACGATTTCACAATGCCTGAGAGAATTTTCTAAGATGTGGCCCATACGGCGAAGGTTTGTCCTCAGTTGATCGAACTGAGCCTGAGTTGCTGGCATGGATCCCTGGAAAGGCGGCAAATGTTGAAGCAACTGCGAATCTGAAACGCCTATTGCTCTTAGTAAGATCCACGCTAATCCCTCCCAAGACACAGTCAATCTACCTTGTTCTGCTGCACGAGCGCGCACTGTGTCGAACCTTTCAAGCAGCGCGTCGACCCCTTCACCTTGATGTCATGCATTTTTTGACGCTCTGCCCTCAAAGATCTTCTAAACTTCCTTTCAAGAAGCTCCGCCCTTCGGCGGCTGCGCATACTTTCTTTGAAGACAAGGCGAGACTGATGGAGTCTCCGGAGGTCCCTGGTCGGCTCTGATCTCGGTTTCCAAGGCTCTGTCGGGATGCCACTCGAGGCATTCTGAGGTCTCAAGGCAACGTGTTTCTCAAGAGGCCCACTCTTATTCCCCCAGACTTCAATCGCTCCATGGATCTGCGCTACTGCATGCAGAGGGATCGGTGACTCGCTTGTCACGGCGCCCCCCACGGAGTACCGCAAGACCCAAGGAGTGATCAAAGCCAGAAGCACGAAGGCAACACCACGTACCGACACCATGGTTCCGAGGACGACGCGAGTGGAGTTCCCTAAAACGAAGCCTGACCTGTCTTACGTGTAACACGTGTGGTAGAAAGATCTGATGGCTAGTCGGGGGAGCCCCACTACTTCTTACAGCCGGGGTTTCCGGCTCCGCTACCAACTGAAAAACAAGGGTTCCTACGAAAGCCCTAAGTGCAGTTCCAAAGTTGTCACACTGATAAGAACAGAATCCGCACCCTTTCCGCTGGTTCCTAGTGATGTCTTGTGTCTATCTAGATAGGTGATCTGGAGCCAACCATGGGTGCATGTATGGTTCCCCTACAAGGTACCTTTTCAGTCGTGTGTTCTCAATTGCCCAGTTGTGCTTCAGAAGCATCTTTGCACCTTGTTGTGCAAATTGAAGCTCATGGTCAGCCTGCGACACGTCTGCCGGAATGGAATGGCAAAGGGGAGACCACCACAAGAACAGGTTGCAGGAGTGGCCCAAGTGTTTTTGGGAATGAAAGAGCCCATTGAATCAAGTCAGCACCAAGTCAACACATTTTTTCACCTAAGCATGCCTGAGCCCACTGACCCACGCAGACCCCAATATCATAGCAATAAAATAGCACTTCAACATCCATCGGTCAGAAACAAATCAAGTCTCTCGCCTTGCCTGTAGAAGGAGCGCCGAACCGGCGTTTTCTGCCTTCTGAGCCATACATCTACAGGTAACACTTCTCTTGGGAGCAATATAACCTTGGAATTGGTCATCAGGCCAGAAAGTATAAGCAAACCGTTGGGCAAACATCCGTTTTGACCTAGAAACGCCGATCACCCAGTCGTAGGAGAACTCACATCAAATCTCAAATCCAATCAAGGCAGATCTGTAGGCATCATTGGGCCCTTTTTCCTTGCCGGCACCTCTTGGACCGCTTCCGCCACTGCTTTGCCGTGACAGCTTCTCATGGAGAGCACGCTTTTGGCACTCGCAGGTCATGTTGACGTGCCAACGCGCGTCATTGTTTTAGAGCCTTTGGATTTGCGTCTCAGCTAAACGTCTCAAGACTGTCAAACTAGGAGTTGAGAAGGGAAATGCAGGAAGTTTACGCATCCCCAACCCCTTGTTGGACACTCCTACCGCCCCTCCTTCCAGAGGGCAATATATATATATAATATATATATGTGTGTAATATGTGTATATATATATATATTGTGTATGTGTATATTTATATATGTATAACATTATGCAAAGGACTGGTATCCTGGGCCAAACTTAGAGTTCAAACACTCCATAGAGGAAAACCCCACTTGGCCACCCTGAGTGAGACTTGTTCATCTTGCATCTTTTTTCTTCATTACGAACTGATCAAAAATGGCCTCCGTCAAAAGGTGATTACACCCGCATGGACCCAAAATAGCAAAAGATATTTGTGGGCAGCACCATGGCAGGCACGAGCATGCAGGCTCCAAAGCGCAGCATCTGGCAGCAGCGCCCTGCAGCGACTCTCTGCAGCACCCTGGAGCGGCACCACACCCTGCAGCGGCACCAGCACTCAGGCTCCAAAGCGCACACAGGCACCACTTCCTATACTTGAAGCAAGAACCCCAGCAGCTCTTGCTATCTGATGAAAAAACACCAGCAGGTGCAGGGATTTCGGTACAGATAGTCGCGTCTGTCCCCCACACCCCTAGTTCGTTCACATAAACTAACTTCAGCCTAGCCTATCAGCTGGCTTTCGCAATTTACTACAAATGTGCTCCTTTCCACATGACCCACATGGCTGTACACTGTACATCGCGTGTCTCTGGACTTCTGGGTCACATGTGGCGAACAGATTCACATGATTTCCCTCAGCCATGGGTTTTTGTGCTCCCCCTTAACCAAAACTCGCCGCACCCCCCTCCCCCCGTTGCTGCGGCTTGGGCTTGTGGAGTGGGAGGGACCATGCACCTATGGTAGTACGGTAGTACCGTATAGTCTTTTCTCCCTGGCACAGTTTCACCACACCTTGCGCAGCCCAGACAAAAGGCTTGGACGACCAGCAGCGGCGAGGCTGTTGGAGGAAGCACGGCAGGACGGCACGCGCGCTCTGCAGCAAAAGTGGCGAGCTCGCGCCAGTAGTGGCTCCGTCCGAGAAGGACCCAAGGAGGCAAAAGCCCGACAATCACCACTACTCACTACTTTGATTCGCTATGATTTGATGCTCCAGGTTCCATCGCAGAGCCTCATGAATCCCTGCTCACATCAGAGCTTTAGAACACCTCCCCCCGCAACTTTTGCCCATTTCCTCGGCCCTTTCCTTCCGTGCCTCTCTCGTGCCCCTCCCGTCCATCCGGCTCTGGAGCAGCTTTGGCTCCCCATACAGCTTCCAAAACTCCGAGTTCGGACACAAGCCTGTCCACTTCATGTGATTATCCTGAACTCTGCAAGTTCCATCTCAACCCCGTGAATTGCTTCGGAAGAACAGAGGGTTTAGGGTGGTGTGAAAGAGCCCGGTGCTCCATGAATTGAAAGAGTGGATCCTCGGACTCGTCAGGCTTTTGGCACAAACATTCCAGAATCATTCTATATCACACCAATCACCCGTCAGCCAAACTCGGGTCCTTAGGCCTCCATGAGCGGCTCTCTCCGAGCCGCCTGGCAGTCCTCTTCCGCAGACCGCACAGGCACCGCACGTGCGGGGCCTGAAGGACCTCCGACCACGCTCTTTTGATTCACCAGTCGAAGCCCAGGCATGGAGCAAGCCTTGGAGAAGGATTCAAGACAGATCTGCAAAAACTTGCAAGTACCACGACGCCTCTCTGCAGTCTACGGTGAATTTCTGGTGCACGTGTGAAAACGACTTTTCTTGGCATCTGAGAATGACATACCCTGTATGGAAGCAGTATGTGCAATGCACGCGATCTGTTTCTGACCTCTGGAGGCAATGTCACCCTGTCGCGACGGTAGATGTTTGGACCAAACAAACCAACGTCTGGTTCCCATCCCCCATTCTCCCCATGTCTCCCCCACTGAAATACACTCCAAGCCAGGTCGCAATGCAAACGGCTGCAATCATCGTCACAATGTAAAGGGGGAAGTAGCGGCCCATGGGACCCCAGCCTGGGCAGGCTCGGCCCCACTCTGTCTATGCGTCTATGCACCAAAAAAAGGGTCGGCCCAACAGTCTCCAGCTGGAGCACAGACGAACATCTCACGTCTGGTGTCGAACTCAGTTCAAAGAAGCAACTCGCGCTCATAGTCAGCATCACCTTGGATGCAGGGAGCTTCTGGTGACATGAAGGAACATCATATAACCCAAAGGAAGGGGGGGGCTCTCCAGGAAGCTTACGTGTTTGAAATTACACCACCGTAGACCCCAAACAGATTGTGTTTTTCAAAATCGAAACAAGAGCTTGCGACTTCCAGAGCTGGGAGACAAATGTAAAGGATTGCAAGGCAGAGACGGACACAGCAGTACAGAGCGGGCGGACACGGCTTGAGAAAGAATTGAGAAGCCCTAACAGTAAACCTTTTGGGGAATTATTCTTCAAGCGCGAACATGATGCCGGTCATGCAGCTCAGTCAGCGGGGAGCTGACCACGTGAGGACAAGAAACAAAAGCATGAGGAGCGAAGGATGTGACATGAAATTGATTTTTGGTGCCTGACGTATGCCCTCCGCCCAAACTGAACAGAGAGATCGCTGCCACGCTGCCGAAATCTAACCCGGTCATTCATCCAACGGTTGCCCGAAAAGGGAAACAAAGCTGAGAGAGTTACACAGTGTGGCAGGAATGCAATCCCGGAGACAGTCACGCACCCCTTGCAAAGGAGCAAGAACCTTTCACAGGCGAACCTGTTCCAGCGGACAGGGCAGAAAACACAAACCTGAAAGACAAAAAGAAAGAAATCACATGGGAGACAAATGAATAGAAATGCTACATGGCCAGCGGAAAAGGGCGGACACCAGCAGTGACAGACCTGGAAAACAAATGAATAGAAATGTTGCATCGCCAGCGGAAAAGGGCGGACACCAACAGTGACAGACCTGGGAGACTAATGAATAGAAATGCTGCATGGCCGACGAAAAGGGCGGGCGCCAGCAGTGACAGACCTGGGAAACAAATGAATAGAAATGCTACATGGCCAACGGAAAAGGGCGGACAGCAGCAGTAACGGACCTGGGAAACAAATCAATAGAAATTCTACATGGCACCAGCAGTGACGGACCTCGGAGACAAGAACCGGGCCACAAGCACCCAGCCTGAGAAGCAAATGAAAAGAAGTGGGAGACACATTCAAGGAAGTGGGAGACAAGCCGGCGGGAACCCGACCACAAGCACCGAGCCTGGGAGAGAACTGAAAGGAAGTGGGAGACAAGGAACCCGACTACAAGCACCCAGCCTGGGAGACAAATGAAAAGAACTGGGAGATAAATAAAAGGAGGTGGGAGACAAGCCGGCCGGGAGCCCGACCACAAGCACCCAGCCTGGGAAACAAATGAAAAGAAGTGAGAGACAAATGGGATCCCACTTCTTTTCATGTGTCTCCCAGGCTGGGTGGGAAACAAATTAAAGGAAGTGGGAGACAAGCCAGCCACCAACCCGACAACAAGCAACCAGCCTGGGAGACAAATAAAAAGAACTGGGAGACAAATGAAAGGAACAAGCACCCAGCCTGGGAGACAAATGAAAAGAAGTGGGAGACAAATGAAAAGAAGTGGGAGACATATGAAAGGAAGTGGGAGACAAGCCAGCCGGAACCCGACCACAAGCACTTCTTTTCATTTGTCTCCCAGGCTGGGTGCTTGTCCGGCTGGCTTGTCTCCCACTTCCTTTCATTTGTCTCCCACTTCTTTTCATTTGTCTCCCAGTTCTTTTCATTTGTCTCCCAGGCTGGGTGGGAAACAAATTAAAGGAAGTGGGAGACAAGCCAGCCACGAACCCGACAACAAGCAACCAGCCTGGGAGACAAATAAAAAGAACTGGGAGACAAATGAAAGGAAGTGGGAGACAAGCCAGCCGGGAACCCGACCACAAGCACCGAGCTTGGGAGACAAATGAAAAGAACTGGGAGACAAATAAAAGGAAGTGGGAGACAAGCCGGCCGGGAACCCGACCAGACCATCCAGCACCAAGGCGACCATTCTTTAAAGCATTGAGAACCCCTAACAGTAAACTGTTTGGGGAACAACTACCAATGCATCGCCCCAGACCCTTGCGCCGAGTCACCGCCGAGGCTGGGGGGAAGGCCGCTCGGCACAAGGCCCCAGAGGAGTTGGCCCAGCCATTCACCGCGCCACGGTTGAAGCCTTCCGCAGAGCCTCGGGTAACCCGAGGGAGCCACCAACCAGTGGCTCACGTCCGCGAAGACGAGACTGCGAGAACGTCCGACGTCTGCACGTGGGGTCGGATGCTGAAGCGGAAAACAGAACAATTCACATGTGCGTTGGAAAACCACTTGAGCTGGAGGTAAGGGGTCGACAACTAGGAGCCTGAGAGAGTGCACGGTTCTAACAAAAATGGCTGTGGGTGCGAAAAAAATGATGCACATTCTGGACCATGCATACCACAGAGCTGAGCATGTAGATGCACATGGTAAACCAGTACTCTTGAGTCCCTAAATCCAGTAGGCGCTTGAGTCCCTGAGTCCCTCTCTCTCTCTCTCTCTCTCTGTCCTCTCTCTCTCTCTCTCTCTTTGTCCTCTCTCTCTCTCTTTCACTCTCTTCCCTGTGTGCAGGTGCAGCAAACCATCTATCTGGAAGTCTTCGGCTTGATTGACCGCCAGTCCCCAGCGGCTCGTCGCCCCCAGCAAGTCCCAGCCCTCCTAGTGCCGAAAGCGGCGGTTGATGAAGGCGAAGGCCGTGGGGAACATCATTCCAGTGGCCGCCGTGTAGACGAATTGCATCATGCCCAGTGGAATGAATCGATAAATACCTGGAACAAATACCAGGAAAAGGTCTCTGGAGGGCGAAAAAGACTCTGGGCCATGGGGAAAAAGCTCACAAAAAAGAATGGGCATGTGCAGGCTTTTCTTCTGCGTCAAGATCTCTGAGATATTCTAAGGTATTGATTTGTCTTGAGTCTTGAGGGTTCTTCCTCAACACCTAAAAAGTACCGTGTGTGTGTGTGTGTGTGTGTGCGGGTGTGTGTGTGTGTGTGTGTGTGCGTGTGTGTGCGTTTGGATAATGAAGCGGGAAGACTTGAAGCATGTCAAATGGAAAGGGAGATGAAATGGGGGTTGTTGAGGTGAAGTGCAGCGATTTGAGGATGGAAGGCTCCATTATCCCCTCTTGGGATTGTTAATCTCTCACGCAAGGCCTACAAGTACCTTGAACTTTCTGAAGCCCTGCAACAGTAAAGCATTGCTGGCCATGCATCCCAGAGCGTCCCTGTTTGCTGGCAGTTTGGAAGTTAGCAAAAATGGAAGTGAAGAAACTGGGCTAGCATCGAACTAGCACCTCTGTATCCTCCTAATCCTCCTAATCCCACTGCCCCAAGTCACTCCACCTGATGCCACCCATTCCAAAACCGACCCCAAATTCTCGCCAAGGAGGCCATACTTGTCCGGGTCCGCGAAGGCGCCTCAAGGCTGGCGGATCCGAACATTTCGGACCGAACCACCGAGCGGAGCGGACTTCGTGGCATCCCACCGGACTGGCGGAGGTTCGATGTGGATGCCCCTCCCGAAAAGGGACCCCCAAAAACAAAAGAAGAAAACGGTCATTGGATGCTGATCTAAGCCATGCGCAATGACCCCAACTGCTAGCTGTTGCAGGGACTTGCTGCTAGTCGGGATTGATTCACCATGCAGAACGGTACCCAACCTTGAGAACACACAATTGAACGAACACGTAGACGGACAAATCAAGCTACCCTGGAGGCCCTCAAGCTACGAACTGTCTTTCAGGCTTCTGCCAAACCGTGAATCAACTACTCTCCAACTGAATACTACGCCCGTTCCGCTGCCAATCCAGGCGTCCATAGATGGGAAAGAGTCCGTAAGAGAGGTGAGCCATGAAAAAGCCGAAGAGGAAGACCTTGAGGAAACCTGGCCCCAGCGGGCACGCTTCGCGTCGCACCGCGTCGCATGGTGTAGACCTCTGCTCGGCTTCGGTGCGGCGAACTGCTTCGTGGGGGCTGGGCGGGCGGAGGCGATGGATGGAGGGCGATGGCAATGAACTGATTTCGCAAGTCAACCATTCTGATTCACATTCTTCTCCAAAACATCTGTAGCTGAAAATGACAAGCTCGATCGTCCAAACTTGTTACAACAATGTTGAACATTCACAGAATCTGTCGGGATTGCACTCCTCTGGCCCTGCTGCCGAGGAACCAAACTTCTTTGTGAGTTTCGGATAGAGGAAGAGTTGAGAACTCAATAGTCCAACAGCACCTGCATTGATTTCCAGAGTCGCTCGTCGCTCATTCACTCACATCTCTTTTGCCCCGACTCGATCAGATCCCCCTTTTAAAGGGAAGGACGCGAAGGACCCGTTCTGTTCAATTTGGAGTTCCACATCACGTTGATGTCGTCTCTGTCTCTCTCTCTCTCTCTCCCTCTCTCGCGCTCTCTGTCTCTCTCTCTCTCTCTCTGCAAGCTCTCTTCGCTTCTCTTGACATACCCGCTTGACCGCTTTCTGGCGGCGCGTGATCCCGTCAATGATGCTAGTCTTGTAAGCAAATGTAAAGAAGCATAGCCTCCCAGGGGGCCCTGGACTGAGTGCTGGTCAAGACCCTTATGTGAACACTAAACTCAAGTGAACCTTGAAGCAGGAAATGCGAATCCGTTTCTCCTCCTTCCGGATGGTGCCTATGTTTTGCAGAAAGCCAATATCGCGCGGGCCAAACTCAAAGCCACCAGCCGACTTCTCATAGGACCTAAGCGGCCCAAAGTGAGTAGGCTCTGATGCAAAAAGCCCAGAGCCTATTTGACTCCAAGCTACATGACCTCCACAGGTCCGATTCCACAGCGGTCGCCACGGTCGATCGATCGGTCGTTCTCAAAGCGAAAGCAAAGAACTCCGCGCGAGGTCGGTCGGCGCGCGCTTCTGGAGCGACAGTCCAAGCTGAGTCCCCAAAACCCCGATGTGGGTGACTCGTTGGGGACTCACCGAGGGGCCTGGCAGGTGCCTGGGAGGTGGCAGCTCTGGGTCTCCGGACACCAGGAGGATCAACAGCTGGTTTTGAGCTGCTGTGGTGCCCGAAAGAGCACAATAGGTCACGATCGTCCTGGGAAGCGCAACCACAGCGCCACAATAGGTCATGGTCTGGCCATGAAAAGTGGATGAAACTCTGGATGGCACCAGTGGGGGTCACCCGTGTCACCAGAGGTCAGGCACCTTTGATGCAGAACTGCAGAACAGCTTACAAAGAATGAAGGACCACCCTTGTGAAGGGCGTGTGGACTTTCGATGCAGCAGCTGCAACCTTCCCTTGTTGAAATGTGTCTTCATGGCAGTGGTGAGCCAATCAGAATGGATCTGGTCCATGGCTTTCTGCAGAACACCGTCTCCAAGGCCCCCGGTGTTCTTGACACCTCAAAGGGTGGGTAGGTTTTCCGGGTGAGTTCTCGTACGATGTGGCAAAACCTTCACATAGATAGAGAGGCAATTCAAGACAATCTCAAAAACTTTAGCCATCTTCAAAGGCTTTTCGGACATTGGTCAATACCAAACACACAGGTTGGCCTGAAGGCCGAAGGTTGGCATCCCTGGTCACCCATTTGGCATCTCAAAGTGTCAGAGTTGCAAAGGATGGGTCGTCACTGGAGAGTGTTCACAAACGAGGCCTCTCCAATCATAATAGCAGACCCAATCAATATACATGATGGACATAGCATGTATGCACATTGGAACGCCTCAAAGACTTGTATTTCCACATTCACTTTGCTCAAAAAGTTCAACCTCAGGTTTGTTCTTTGTGTCTCCTCAAGCACCTGTCTTGGATTCGGCACAGAAATATAATGAACCATATTAAAACATCATTGTCGCGCTTGATCAAGAGCGCGTCCATTACAGGGGCATATTGGCAAGCATCGAGACCATCTCCAAGGAATAGCAGCCCTTCTTGTTGCTGGCGTCTGCGGCAAATGAGGGCGAATGCTGCGAATTGGTGAATTTGCATGTACGGGTAGCCTTTCGTTCGGCCTGGCATCTTGTCCAATTGGGACCTTGAGAGCACCACGTGGGAACAAAAAGGCCCAAACCGTCCCAAAACCAAGGACCATTTCCATGACGTGCGAATGAAGCCCAATGAGATGTGGTGAATCAGCTGCCGAGCGCGGACCGGCCCGGTGGACGCTCCGCCTGACGCTTGGGACTCATCTTCGGGAATCACGTAGCGGTTCGGTGCACCTGAAGCCCACGCGGTCATGGTCACGGTCACCGAGTGCCGCGCTGCACGGGTCGCAAGACATTGCAAGACATGCAAAGGCGCCTGGTGTTTGCAACCCACATCCGACCTGATGAATCTGATCTTAGCTACTGAATGCTACTGATCTCTTCCCAGGCGGCCTCTCCCATCGCCGATCGCCCCACCCACACCTGAAGGATCAGTGCCACTCGTCGATCTCGTTAGTCCAGTAGGCTCTGGAAGATCTGCCGTCCGCCGGTGGCAACACCGCTTGCTGTGCGGCAGCGTTTCCTAGCGGCACAGCGGCAAAGCACGCGTTTCCAGACCTTCTTTCTAGGTTGCAAACAGCAAAATACCTCGTTGGCATTTAGTGCCCAAGTTTGGTGTCTGCTATTTTTGCAAAAAAGGGACCCCAAGTGTGCAGGACAGGTGGTTGGGGCACTGACACCCGTGATTAAGAAGGGCTCTCCCACCCATGCAGTTATTCGCAATGACTGATGCTTGCAAATGTGGCCCATTAAAGAACCGGAGGCCTGCCCCAACCAGCACCAACCCTGGCGCCTCCAGAAAAACACAGCCAATTACCCATGCGATGGCCGCAAAGATGGCCTCCGGGGAGTCAGGAGCGGGAACAAAGGATGCGGAACAGGAGAGGATACAAATCCAGTTTGGATGTCGCATTCTGCTGCTAGCTGCTAGCGGGTCACTCGATGGTACACCACCTTTGAGCCATGGCCATACAACCACCTCAACATGATACAAGTCACATGTCCAGTGGGGGCCCTTGGATGAGAACCGTCCGCCAGCCCGGTTCACAACACTGCCAGGAATTACTGGAGGACCAACCAAGACTTTTCCTACATGCTTTTGCTCCCCAAATGAGCCCAAATGTGCCTTCGGTTAATTCGGTACCAAGGCACATACGTGAGATTTGGCAAGAGGAAAGGATACTCTTCAAAGATGGTGCCACCAAAGATTTGTGGGGCTCGTTCAGCGGGAAACACCAGCCTCAGAGGTTTTTGCACGAAACCAAGCTGTCCACAATGGCTTCTTGTGCGGAAGCAGGCAGCCAGTCTTTGGTGGACAAAAGTTCACACATTGAGTAATTATTTAGTTTTAGTACCTTCTAACTTTAATGCTCCAAGGGTTGTGGGAGAATGCACACCCCAGTATAAGGTTGGAATTTCAAGCAAGCTTAGAACGTCTTGCCTGTCAGCAAGGTCAGTTGCACCCACTGTACTGTCTCATATCCCCTGGACTGTCGTACGGATGTTTTTCAGTCTGAAGGTCGGTCAACTCATATCAGTTTCCTCCAGACCCTCCGCGCGGCCGCTTCTTTCTCACTCCACTCCGCCTTTGGCGTCGTTTCCCTCGGAGAAACTGTCCGCCCCCGCCCTCCGACCGCCCGGTTGCCGTCAAGGCGCTCGCCCCCGAGGATGGGCCCCACGAAGAGCCCCACCGAAAAGCAGAGCGCCAGGAAGCTGAAGCCTTTCGCCTCCCAAGGCGGCCAAACGATCTCAGGTCAGGCGGACAATCCCCTCTTTGTTCCGCCGTCGCGGCTCGGCGTCGCGACGGGTGCCTTTTAGGATGGTTTTCTTTTGGAGGGGAAGAAAAACTGATTTGTTTGCAGGAAGAAGTATATAGAGGAGCTGCAACTGATTTAATCGAACTATTTACAGGCTGGTCAGCCGGGTTCTTCTCGCTTTCGAGTGACCTGCAACTGATCGGCCGGTCGCACTGGCGGACGCACCGCTTGGGTTCGCCGGTTTCGCTTCTCCGCACGCATCCAGCGCGTCTTCGCCGGTTCTCCTCCCCATTCGGCTGTGTCACGTCGCATGTCATGTCTACTTGCTTGGAACTATGGAACGTCGTTCATAGTTGGTACTGTTCCCTCTGTGCACTTAAATGTTTGGTTGTATAAGTGCATAAACGCTGGTTGCATTTGGTTCATTGAAAAAGAAAGAGATTGGCTACGGTTCATCCTGAGAGGTGCTTCTTGCCAGTCAGGTCAGCAATCTCTCCAGACACGTTTCAGGCGCATGGGAACCTATGGGCATGTTAGCAGAAGCAACGGGCCTGTTTCCATGTTCATGTTCTGGAGTGACCTCCCTCAAGTCAAAGTCAAATCTAAGGAGAGGGATGAGACATAGGCCTCGATACTCTCACTTTCGGCCTCGTTGCTCTCATCCACAATCTCTCCAAGATAGGTTCGGGTCACCTCAGCGACTTCGCTTCACCCGGAGAAAGTTATCCTGGCAAGAGACCCCAAACAGTGTGTGTGAGGTCAAAAAGCAGAAAGTCCAGAGATCTAGACGCATTGGGGTCCAGAGAGGTGATGGTGGTGATCAAGTTGGGGATCGTGGTGACGGTGGCGGTGGTGGTGAGTGAGTGAATGAGTGAGTGAATGAGTGAGTGAATGAGTGA